CTGACATGTATGTTAAGAGACAACTGACTGACTTTGCTTTACACAGTCTTTAAATATAGTAGAGTAACTCAGACTGGTACAATGTATACAAATATTGTTGTTGTGCACTTGTTACCAATATCTTACGATGAAGTCTATATGTCTAAGCAGTAATGTCCGTATCAGGTATCATGCCAAATGTTTTAGATGTGTGTATTTGTTCCATAAACATTTATCTGGTGACTAAGATATGTTTCTCTCATAAGAGTCATACGTCACATTCTAGTCTAGTCACACTGAATTGAAGGATGAGGGTAGCATTATTTGATATTACTGCCAGTAGGACAACTGAAAACATTTTAACTAACAATAAATGGACAAATACTAACAAGCAATGTCTATGTACCCAAGACACATGCTCGGGTATTGGGCTTTGTGTATATGCTCGGGAGACCAACAACCGAATCAAGCTGACAGAAAATCTACAGTAACTCAGAACTGAAGTGAGCAGAAAGAAAAAAAAAACATTTTCTTGGCAAAATTTGGGCCCTAAGTACCAATCAATCATGCTCTGTCTGAGTATTACTGGAGACCTGATCATCCCTTTGAAGGTTCACTGTGTAAGATTCAGGTGAACGAGGGAAACTGAAAATGAAATGATGCTAGTCATGTTTTCACTAGTGTACAAATTGTTGATTTCTTTACTCTTAAGTGGGCACTTTATATTTAAATATTTAATATTTACATTCAGGGTGGGTCATCTTTATGTGGCTGTCATTTTTTTCACAGTTGCCCAAGCTGGACTAACTAAAAACCAGTCTGAGTTTTTATGACAACTGAAGGCTACCACAGGTTCTCTCTCATGTTGGAAGGGGAGAGTGAGGTGAGGGGTATCCAGCTGCAACATGACACTTCACTGATGGATGTCACTAACTTCTACACACTAAACCTTTAAGGCTACAATGTACTATCTTCTACCGAGTAGTTCCTGCACGGTAATGCACCATGTATAACATCTTCTCAAACTTGTTTCATAAACATGATAATGAGTTCAGTGAACTCAGTCGACCTGTCCAGCCACCATATCTTAATCTAACAGAAAACCTCTATGGTGTAGTCAAATAACAGCAGCATGGGAACATGGTCTCACATACATGAATGCGAAGTGATTATTGTAAAAGTTGAGTGTCATCCCACAATTTGCCTCACCACAGGAAGCAAATGTTTTATTTTATATATGTTCACCACTGATAAATATGCATGTACGTGTGACAGTGCCCTGAATGTTCAGCTGGCAGATTATCTGATGCAGTCATGTCAACATGGAGCAGGAACTTTTCCAAAATTGTGTGAACTAAATGCCATTAATAATTGAAGTAATTTAGAGAGCAGAGGGAGGCCCTACTACCCTAGGTATTAGTATGGTGTTCCTCACAGAGTCATGGGGTGTATAAACTTAAGTGTATCCCAGATCTTTGAAGTAGATTGTGCTGACAATATGTTTTATACACAACTCCACATTGACGCTGAGGATACAATTGACCAGACATATTCACTGTCAACTTGGTCTTGATATGCCAGTAAAGTTGGTAGAATATTTGTGCAGAGGTACAGTCATTTGTTTTCTACATAGTAAGTGTTATGATCAGAAAAAAAGGTTTTAATCCTAAAGAGAAAATGTTTTTCCCTCCCCACGGACTGTGATGCCTGTGATGATGTAATAACAGTGTGTGTGTGACAAGTTAAAGAAGCTCTCAGCTGCTATGGTGAAACCACAGTGGTTACCTTCCCTGACACAGACCACACACAGCCAGCTTGAGGATCATTTGGGAGCAGAGTGAACTAAAAGACTTGGTTCTGATTGAACTTTCTTACTTATTGATGTTATTTATTTCTACATGTTTACATACATAAATACTTCTACCTCATAATTGTATTGGATCATTTATCACAGTAACTGCCTGAATAAGTGACTAAACAGGTAAAAGGAAGGGGCAGCTGCATTGTAACTACTGAAGATGAGACTGTAGAGTTTTCTCATCACTGACCCCCTCTGGCTCTTTCTATGAGGTAAATGGAAAACAATACTAATCCCCCTTATTTTAACCTCACCATGTTTGTGAACTTAGGCAGCTACCGCTACCCAACCTTTGTCTTGTGTTTGTTGCTGTATGCATTTAYTGTCTCAGCTAATCTTGTAATAATACTGGCAATATCACAAGAGAAGAAATTACATGAGCCCATGTATATTTTCATTATGTGCCTCTCTATTAACTCTATGTACGGCTCTGCTGGCTTCTTCCTCAGATTTCTCAGAGACCTTTTGTCTG